GGGCGGGGGGGGGACAGGCTGTAGCAGGCGGGGGCGGGCCTTACCGGCGTAGCTGTGCGCCCGCTTCATGTGCAGCTTCATGTTACTCTTCTGGGTGAAGCCCATGACGCAGTAGTCACACTTGTAGGGCCTCTCGCCCGTGTGCTTCTTCATGTGCACCTGCAGCGCGCTCTTCTGGTTAAAGGCCTTCTCGCAGAGCGTGCAGTGGAACGGCCGCTCCCCTGGGGGGACGCACACACGTGAGCGCCCTCCTGGACGCTGCACACACGTGAGCGCCCCCCTCCGCCCCCCGCGACGCCGCACCCGAGGGCACACACAGGGAAAGCGTCCTGAGCAGTCTACACAGAGTGCTAGTGTGAATGTACCCCACAGCGAGACCCAAACTAAAACCTGAATCAAAAGCTACTGCAACTCCTAGAAGCATCCGGAAATAAAAGTAGAGCACCCATGGCTTACACAAAATGTTGCTAATACACCTTAGGCAGTAAGGCAAGAAAACATTAAGTACGGAGAACATCAAAGCCACTCAATTAAAAGGATAGTTTATCTAGTATTTTCTCAAATGTCATTTTAGCTGCTTTTGAGTTAATGTAGAAACTGAAAACCGAAGGCAAAGCTTCCATGTTGGCCTCCTGCCGCAAGCCTGTCTGGCAGTGGGCTCGTCTCCAGTGCCCGCTCCGGCCGCAGCCCTGCCCCTCACCGTCCCTGCCTCTGCCCCACACGCCGGGCCACCGCGAAGCCCCCAGGGCACGACCCCTTCCTCTGGGCCTACAAGGTTCCTTCCCGTGGACTCTGCACGGCTGCCTCCTGGTCAGGGGTCTGTCCGCTCTCCCGGCGCAGCCTTCCTGGACCACGTGTCAGCAGGAAGCACCGCGTAGTGGCTCAGAGATCACCTGCTCTGCTCCCAGGGTGTCGCTCTAAGTCTGTCCCTGCTACCCAGTGGCTGAGACACAGAAGGTCTCAACCACGGCTCACCGGTGCCAGGCAGAGCCGTGAAAGGGCTCCGACGCTGTCCTGCCGTAATCCCCGGGACTCTGCATGCGAGGACGTTGTACCTGTGACGGTGCTCCCTCACACAGAGGGAACGGTATCACAGACGTCATTACAGCCACTGGAGCGGACTCGGGGGACCCGGAGGGGGATCGTCCCTGTGGGCCCACACACACCCTGCCAGAGCAGAGGCGGCCGCCGCAGGGACCGGAGGCTGCACGGGGCTCTCCGCTGGTTTGCAGACGGAGCGCCCGCGGGAAGGGGGCGGTCCCGGAAAGCGGCACGCAGCGCACAGGGCGACGTGCCAGCAGCGGGCTCTCCACACCTCCGTACGCACCCGGCTCGTTGGGAAAGCCCCTTAGCGCGTAAATACACGAGCAGGTACGGCCTCGCTGTTTTTCACTCCCACACTGCCGAGTGCCGGCCTGTGCGGACCACCGGGGACGTCCCCAAGGACACCAGAGCCCGGGGCCGGGAGGGGCGCAGACGGGGCCGGCCAGGGGCACCGAAGGGCGCAGAGGCCTCGTGGGGGGTGGTGTCCGGGCTGACACCTGAAGAGGAGTCAGAGGAGGGCGGGCGGAGGGAGACCTGGAGGCCAGCACAGGTCGCGCACAGTAGTGCCAGTCACCGGACAGCAGGCGCAGCTGCAGGTCCTCAGAGGGCACGAGACGGCCACGTCCGCCTGCCCCCCAGGGTCTCCACCCGGCCGGCGCGGAGGCAGACCAGGCCTCGGCGGAGCAGGGAAGGCGCTGAGGCGGAGGCCACCGGGCCGGATCAGGGCGGGTGGCGCGTCACGGCGCGGGAGAGGCAGGGACAGACCCGAGCAGGCTCAGGTGGGGACAGGACGTCCGCACGGAGAAGCCTGAGGATGTAGGGGAAGGGAAGGAACGCCCCCGAATGCGGGCCCAGCCCCAGAGGACGCAGCAGCCGGCGCCTCATGCGTCCTGAGTTCTGTGGTCGCCCAGGAAACCACAAACTCTGTGGCCTGCGGAAGCCAGCGGGCCAAGGGACCGACGGCAGCGTGCAGGCCCAGCTCCACAGGGCACGTGTGCCGCGATCCCCTTTCCTCGGCGGCGCTCCAGCGCCCGGCGCCCAGCCCGACGGCGCGGCCCAGTTACCTGTGTGGATACGGCTGTGCCGCTCCAGCTGGCTGGGCTTGGCGAACGCCTTCTCACAGGTGTCACACTTGAACACTCTGGGCTTCTGGGAGCTGAGGGAAGGGCCGGCCTGGTGCGTCTGCATGTGTTCCTGTTAACGACCACACAAGACACCTGAGGTCACGCCGGGACCACAGACCTGTGACAGGAAAGGCAACACAGCCACGGGATCACGTCCGCGGCACAGCCCACCCGGGGCCCCACCCCGCAGGTCGGACACAGCAGGCCGACCCCGCCGCCCTCGGGCACCAGCTGTGCGGCTCTCCAGGGCCTCTGCCCTCCCTCGTTGCCCGTGACCTTGACGGTTTTTAGGAGCACCGCTCAGCTATTCTGCAGGATGTTCGTCGACTGAGAACCGTCTGAAATGTTTCCCGTGATGGGACCGTGGCTCTGGGCTTAGGGGGTAAGGAGGTGTCCCGGTCCCAGACTATCAGGGGTGCACAGCCTGCTCCGTGACCGTGGACAAGCTTCACCACGTGGCTGACGTCTCACCTGTCAGCCCCTCCCAGGCACACTTAACTGTTTTTCGCGCATCCTCGTGCGCCCTGGGGAAGAAGGAAGGAGGAGGGGACGCCCCGAGGGCGGTGTCCACACAAATTGCTTGGGTTTGTCTCCTCTTCCTGGCCATTAGCTTCTCCAAGCACATTTACCTCCGCGAGGACTCGCGGGGATTTATCGTGCGCCGTGGGTTATAACCCAATGCTACCTTATACCTTTTCTTGCTGCAACTGTTCCAGCTCTGGCCGCCGGGAGCTCTTCCAGAGAATTCCCGGGTGCCTTCGACACATTTGTTACCCTTTTCTTTCCACCGGTGAGATTCAGGACTTCCACCGAATCGCGTCGGTCACCCTCGGAGGGGGTGGCGGTGCTGGGGGACGGCAGCCGGGCCGCGGGGGAGCCTACCTTGAGGTGAGTGGCGCGCTTGAAGGCCTTCCTGCACACGGGACACACGTGGATGCGCTCCCGGCCGTGTACCTCCTTGCTGTGCTGCAGCAGCATGGCGGCCGACGCGAAGCCACGGCCACACTCCACGCACTGGTGCAGCCGGGCCTCCTTCTCGGGCGGCCCGCCCTGGGCCAGGCCGGCAGAGACGTCAGTGACCTGCGGTGGGGCCGGAAAGCCCGGGCGTTACTCCACGGCTGCGGCTTGCAGCAGAGCGACAGAGGCACCCTTCGACACAGGCACGCTCAGCCCCGAGTGTCGTCTGTCACCCTAGGGGGGGCGGCGGGGACCCAGGCATCCTATCTGACCGGCCCGCTCTCGCACTCGGGGCAGAGTTTAGAGAACGGAACGGGGTTCCGCACACGTGACCTCCCAGGTGCAAATTCGGCTCCCACCTGACGTCCCGGCTGCTCTGGAGAGAGCTTCTCCACCCTGTCCCTGGCTTCCTCATCCGGTCAACCATAACTATCAGGGCTGGTGACGGCTCGATGAGGTAACCCATGAAAGGTCCTGAGAATAACGCCTGGCTTACAGCACGTACTCAGGAAATGCTATTCGTGATAGTAGTTTTAGCAGAGACAAGTATAAAGGACACTGCCCCCACAATGCTGCTGCCTTGGCTGAAGATGTTTCTCAGCAAAGTGCAATATAAACAATACTTAGTAGAAGGTGTTTTTAGCTTTTGATTGGATGAGAGCATTTTCTCCAAACTTTAACCACAACGAATTAGGTTTTCAAATCATTTTAATGGGATGCTATTAGCACCCGGAGAATAAATAAAGCCAGAGGAGTTTACTACTCACTTTTATAAAAAAGACTTTGGTTTTGCAGGTGAAAACTTATATAGGACAATTTAGTGGAAGAAAATCAGAAATAGTTATAAAGATAATTGATGGGATTTTTCAACATTTTTGTTCTAGTTTATCAAGTACTTTTTCATAATACTGTAATATACAGAAATGGATAAAATTTAAACACCTAACAAGAAAAGATTTCTACAAGGTGCTCTAATATTATTAATCTGTGCCGTAATAAAAAAAAAAAAAAGAATGGAATGAAAAAACAAAATAGAAAACATGAGAGGCACAAAGATGATGCAGTTGCATCACGTGCCATAAATAGGTGTCACTTCATGGTGCCTGTTAGGCGTACACGTTTCTACGTGTGACGGTGTGTGCAAAGCAAAGAAACAAGGACACACTGTGTATTCAGATCAGCGCATAAAATATATTTGTTGTGAGTCAAAAAAAGTCTGAAAACCCCTGGAATAAATCAGACCAAAGCGCCTGGGTGGCTCAGTCGGTTGAGCGTCGGACTTCGGCTCAGGTCATGATCTCGCGGTTTGTGAGTTCGAGCCCCGCGTCGGGCTCTGTGCTGACAGCTCGGAGCCTGGAGCCTGTTTCAGATTCTGTGTCTCCCCCTCTCTCTGCCCCTCCCCTGCTCGTGCTCTATCTCTCTCTCTCTCTCAAAAATAAATAAACATTAAAAAAAATTAAAACAAAAACAAACCACACGATTAAAGCAAATGATGCAAAAAGTGCAGTCCCTGAAACAGACCCTGGGAGCTAATGGCGCTGACGTGCCTCTGTTCCTCCGCTGGTCCTTCCCAGTAGCTATGGTAACTGGACGCCATCACAAGACATGAAGACTCGAGGCGGCGCCCTATCGCTGGGACCACAAGTGAAAGATCAGATGGGGAGCCTCCCCAGGCCGTCCTCCACGGGCAGCACAGCCCGAGAGCCCCAGAGACAAGTGGGCTACCATGACCCGCGCTGACATGCAGCTGCATGAGGCTGACCGTGTCTCAATTCTTCAACACAAAGGAGTCCTCGGGGGGCGCCTGAGTGGCCCACTTAAGCATCTGACTTCGGCTCAGGTCATGATCTCATGGTTTTACGAGTTCAAGCCCCACGTGGGGCTCTGTGCTGACAGCTCAGACCTGGAGCCTGCTTCACAATCTGTGTCTCTCTCTCCATCTGCCCCTCCCCCACTTGTGCTCTCTTTCAAAAATAAAAAAAAAATAAAAATAAAGGAGTCCTCATCCCATTGAAAGGCCAATGAGAAATTTTCTTGAAAACTTACTTGCTAAAATTGCATAAAATGTAATGCTGCTTACAGTCAGTATTTATTATCTGTACTTTAACTTTGAAAAGTTTTAAGGAAAGAGCTTTTAGATTCTTGTATATTTAGAACTATCATTCACTAAATCTTAGACCCTGAAAACGTGCATTTTAAGTACAAAACTGGTCAAATGACAAATAGGTCATGCAGACACATATAGGTGTGATGCATGAAAAAGTATAACCAGACTTAAAACAATCAGCAAAGGCTTGACAAGAAAACCTATGAAAAGAACTAAACGCAGGTAAATGGCCAAGTGAAGTCGGATCGGTTGGCCAGAGGAATAAATTTACAACCAGACTCACGAGTTGTTTCTACATGACTCTGCAATACGGAAAGCCCACCCAACAAGCAACATATCACGGCCCGGACGAGACCAGTGTCCTCCGCTCACCACTGGCTGCCCCGCAGTGCCCACTCCTTATCCCCGCGTGGGTGCAGACGCCGCCCCCCCACCCCCGGAGGGACCAGCCCTTCTCGGTCCGTGTGTCAGCACCTGGGGCTGAGTGTGAGCGACGTACCTGGTAGGTGATGTCTTCGCCAGCAGTGGAGGAGGGCTGGGGGGTGTGGCTCACTAAGATGACCTGTGGGGAGCCCGCCCCCCCTTGGCCGGAGAGCGAGGGATCCGTGAGTAAGGCTGGGAACTGCTGACCCTGCTGAAGACAGACTGTGTTAGAGGCCGTACCGTTATCAAACTCAGGAAGAATTTAAAAGATGGCTTCGGGAGCCGTTACTGTGGAAAATGAGCTGGCAGGCCCTCGGGAACAACCACAGAATCAGCAGGCGACCGGGCAGCTCCGTCCCAGGTATCTGCCCCAGGGAAACAAAAACACTTATGCACGAACGTTCATGGCAACCAAGAAGGGGTTGTAAACCGAGGTGTATCTACGCTTTTTTCAGCCACGAGAAGGGTGAGCCGTGGAAACAGAAGACGCTGAGTGAGGGGGGCCGGTGCAGACCCACTCATGTGACGCGTCCCAAACAGGTGCGTCCACAGAAGGGGAGAGTGCCTGGTGCTTGTCAGGGGCGGGGGAGACAGCGAGAGGTGGGCAGGGGTGACATGGGGGTGACCGCGAGCTGCTCACGGTGCCACATTTCTGAGGTGATGATATGTTCCCAAACTAGATGTGGTCGTGGGTGTGCAACTCTGTAAACACACTAAAGACCGGTAGGTTGTATCCTTTAAGTTGAACAAGTGAACGCTACAGCACACACGTTATATCTCAACAAAGTTGTAAATATATATATATAT